AGAACAACATATACTAATTTTTAAAGTATCAAATTGAATTGTTGTTTAATAAAAATCTTTCAAATGCGACTGTAGCTTTTTTTCCTAAAACTTTGTCTTCAAAATAAGGGTACGTCTTATACACCGGTGCGTCTTGTATTCCGAAAAATGCGGTAATTTATATTTTTAATTGGGCTTACTTTATTGAGACGTGTACAGATTGAATAAATTCGACCAGTTTTTACCATCCTCAAAGATTTATAAATGTCGCACTACCACTGTCTCTGTCCAAGCGCATCTGTTAAATTTTTCACGATTTTGATTCATTGATTTTTTAGTCAATTCATACATGTGAGCGGATCGACTAAACGTTTACGTTAAATGAGTCGAATTAAAATAGGCCTAATGTTACTATGCCAGGAGAAATGCGTTAATTCGTTAACAAAGTATCAGGCACAAGTCGACAATGTAACCTCAGAAATTTTTACTTTTTCACAGATAGTTTTATTGCATTTAAACTCACAGAGAAAAATAACTTTAACGTTTATTAAGGTAATATCAAAAGTGTATCACATTCTTTGGTAAGGTTGGTGGATGATGTAATCAGTAGTCTGTAAAATGTAATACGATTATATATCTCGAAACACTCAAATATTTATATGATGATTGTACAGTTGTGAGTTTTCTCCTTGAAATTTATGTGTTTACACATCTTTCACTCTCTTTCTTTTACCTTCAAGTTAAGTGTCCAGAGAAAGAGTTTCAGTGTCGTAATGATCAGTGTGTGGAAAAACACCGAGTGTGTGACACCTCCGACGACTGCGGGGACGGAACAGATGAAGAACAATGCAGTGAGTTGAAAGAACGAAAAATTACTGTAGCAGATTTCATGGGAATTAGAAAGAGTTGGAATGAGGATGTTGTTTAATTTCACTCCAGTTCATGTGGTGTTCGATTAAGTACACTGATGGCCGACAGGTAGCCAATACTCACCACAAAGCGAAAATGGTAGAGTGAACAATATTTCGAACTCGGAAAGGAAATACAAACACACACACACACACACGTGAATGTACAAAAAAAGTAAACAAAAAAACACAAATCTTTATTCATACAAATAAGTGACTGTTTATTTCTTAGGTAGGCTGTTAGTCAGAGATAGGCTAACAGTTAGATATAGGCTATTAGTCAGGGATAGGCTAATAGTTAGAGATAGGATGATAGTGAAGAATAAGCTATTAGTTATATATAGGCTAATAGTCAGGGATATGCTAATAATTAGAGATAGGCTAGTAGTTAGGAATAAGCTGATAATCAGGAATAGGCTAATAGTTATAGATAGCCTGATAATCATGGATAAGCTGATTGTTAGGAATAGGCTGGTAATCAGGGATAGGGTGATAATCAGAGACAGGCTAACAGTTAGAAATAGGCTAATAGTCAGGGATAGGCTGGTAATCAGGGACAGGCTAACAGTTAGAGATACGCTGATAGTCAGGGATAGGCAAACTGTAATTGATAGAATCTAGGTGTAGTTGGCCCGGCATGGCCAGGTGGTTAAAGCACTCGACTCGCAATCTGAGGGTCGCGGGTTCGAATTCCTCTCACACCAAACATGCTCGCCCTTTCAGCCGTGGAGGCGTTATAATGTGACGGTCAATCCCACTGTTCGTTGGTAAAAGAGTAGCCCAAGAGTTGGCGGTGGGTGGTGATGACTAGCTGCCCTTCCTCTAGTCTTACACTGCTAAATTAGGGATGGCTAGCGCAGATAGCCCTCGTGTAGCTTTGCGCCAAATTCAAAAACAAAACAAAACAAACTAGGTGTAGTTTTTGTACAAACAACAACTTTGACTGCTTTCCTTTTGTTTGCTGTCAAGCACAAAGCTGCACGGTGGGCTATCTATTCTGTGCTCACCGCGGGTATTTAAACTCTAATTTTAGCGTTACAATCTCTCACACTTATCGCTGAGCCACCAGGAGGCAACATTGACTACAACGGAAAAAGGAAATTGAAACTACTAATTACTTATCTGTCTATGATATTTCAAAAACGTTTCTACAAAAGACAGCGCCATAAATTTTACTGTCAGACACAATAACAAAGTTATGTACGTAACACCACGAATAAAGTCACGTAGCTCACCATTCTTAAACTTTGGAAGGACGCCCTCTATACGGTGAGGGTTTCCGTCTACTAGAAAGTTAAGGCTATTATCGTTCCAGAAATAGACAAAGTGTTTAAAGTTTATGTTTTACTGTTTAATATCCATGCTTTATTCTAAAGATCATCCAACCGGAGAACTGGAAATTTGTGGCTTGACTCCCATAATACCGGAATTAGGAAACGGTGACCGTATTGTCGGTGGCCGAGAGGCCGTGCCCGGCAGCTGGCCTTGGCAAGTGAGCTTTCAATATATTTATACACATCCCAGTAGTCACTTCTGTGGTGGTGCACTGATTAACAAAAACTGGATTCTGACAGCAGCCCACTGCGTTAAGTAAGTTACCCAGTCTTACTGATACTCTTTTCAACTAATGATTCCAGAAGAAACAGATCATTTATTAATATCCACCTAATTAATATTGTGTTGTTTTTGTTTTTTTTTGTATTTGTGATTTTTAGAGCAAAGCCACATTGAGTTATCTGCTGTGTCCAACGCAGGGAACCGACCCTAGGATTTTAGCATTGTAAGTCCGTAAACTCACCCCTATCACACCAGGGGACTCAACTAATATTCCCAGCAGAAGCACCTTATTTTACTTGAATATTATTTCAACTAATATTTCCAGAATAAAAGGTTTACCATACCTTAATATTCTTTCAACTAATTCCCCGGTGAGACAGCAGTAAGTCTTCGGATTTACAACGCTAAAGTCAGGGGTTCAATTCCTCTCGGTGGATTAATAAGATATCCCGATGTGACTTTGCTGTGAGAAAACGCACAAACACCTTTCAAAAATATTTCCAAAAGAAACAGGTATATGTTATTTAATATCTTTTCAACTAATATTTCTAAAAGAAACAGGTATATGTTATTTAATATCTTTTCAACTAATATTTCCAAAAGAAACAGGTATATGTTATTTAATATCTTTTCAACTAATATTTCCAAAAGAAACAAGTATATGTTATTTAATATCTTTTCAACTAATATTTCCAGAATAAACAAGTGTATGTTATTTAATATCGTTTCAACTAATATCTCCAGAAGAAACAGGTTATTTTACCTTAGTAAAACTAAATGATTTTTGATTCGCCTGTTTACTTAACCTGGAAGAAATCAGATTGGTATAAAGAATGGGAAGGATTGGAAAAGCTCTCGAGCTTTATATATATAATTACACAAAATTTTTTTAGATATGTTCACTATTCGCCAATTGGGTATTCTTGTTACTTTTCACCATAATTTAAAATATTTTACATGTAAATTATTAAGCGTTTTCTCGCAACAAGTTCTTCGAAGGGAACAGAAAATTTATATAATAATTATCACTTTTTAGATAGCTTTCAGTAGGGTTGAGAATTCCTTGTGTATAGTAACTTTTGAATTAATATAATATGTTATTATCTATTTCCATACTAGTACACGTTACACAAGTTAAAGGAACCTCGTGCATGCTTGATTTTTTTGTAAAATTAATATATTCCTGAGAATACTTTAAAACTTTTCATTTCTTGGTAACAGTTAGCATGTTTAAAAAAAACAAAATTATTCAGCTTTTATAATTAATTTCTCCATAGCGAGTCCATCGTCAGGACAGCTGTACGTTTACGGACTTACAGCGCTAAAATCTGAGGTTCAATTTCCCGTGATTAACACAGTAAATAACACAACAACAACTGTATAGCAGGGTTTACTCTATTTAGAAACTGATGTGGTACACATACAGTTCTAGAGTGGTAAGCACAAGGCAAAAGAGTGTTGTGTGTGTGGCTCACAGTATGTGAAGTAGTTAGAGTGTTGTGTTTGGCTCACAGTATATGAAATAATTAGAGTGTCGTGTGTGACTCACAGTATATGAAGTAGTTAGAGTGTTGTGTCATATACTGTGAGCCAACATATACTGTGAACCACACACAACACTCTAACTACTTCATATACTGTGAGCCACACACAACACTCTAACTACTTCATATACTGTGAGTCACACACGACAGTCTAAGTACTTAAGTAGTTAGAGTGTTGTGTGTGGCTCACAGTATATGAAGTAGTTAGAGTGTTGTGTGTGGCTCACAGCCACACACAACACTCTAACTACTTCATATACTCACAGTATATGAAGTAGTTAGAG